CCCACACCCCCAACCCTGAGCTCAGCCAGCACTCAGCCTCTCTACCTTAATGGGGATGCAGGCGTGGTCCTCCTCCAGGTCCTTCAGGCAGATCTCCAGGTGCAGCTCCCCAGCGCCAGCGATGATGTGCTCCCCAGACTCCTCAATGATGCACTGGCAACAGCAGGTGAAGCTCAGAATGAGCCACAGCCACAAACACCAGCAACTCTCTGTGGTTTTTGTTTTTGACCCACAGGGCTACCTCTAGATGTTCTCCCCACCAATCTGGTGGTGTCACAGCACCAAGCCAGGGACCAACACCCAACTCAATGCTTTCCCAGGAGTGGAGGCAGCATCCTTAGATCCATGCCTGCATTACCCACTCACCTGCACCATGGGGTCAGACTTGGCCAGGCGCTTCAGCCCCTCCACCAGCTTGGGCAGGTCGGCCGGGTTCTTGGCCTCCACGGCCACGCGCACCACGGGGCTGACGCTGAACTTCATCACCCTCATGTTGTGGGCGTGCTCGAAGGTGGTGATGGTTCCAGTCTTCACCAGGAACTGGTCCACACCAACCAGCCCCACGATGTTCCCACAAGGCACGTCCTCGATGGGCTCCACGTAGCGGCCCATCATGAGAATGGTCCTGAAGGGAAAGGTGGGGTAGTGAGGTTGGGAAGGGGAGGAGATCCCACTCAGCCCACAGCCAAGCACCTTGACAGGCCTCAGACACGAGAGGAGACCTGAGACAGCACCAGAACCCCTCAACACCCCAGCCAGGACCCACCTTTGAATTGGCTTCAGGTACAGATCCTCCTTCTTGCCAGGGGTGTAGTTTGGTCCCATGATTCTGACTTTCAAGCCAGTAGAGACGAGACCAGAGAAGACACGGCCAAAAGCGTAGAATCGTCCCTTGTCAGAGGTTGGCACCATTTTGGAGATGTACATCATCAGGGGGCCTTTGGGGTCACAGTTCTTAATGCCTGCAAGGTGAGAGAGACCAGCTTAGCCCAGAGGTATTGAGGATCTGGTACCCAGCCCAAACCCCAACTCAAGACCTGCACCCACTGTCCCAGCCCAAGGGCTTTTGTCTGGACAAGAGGAAATGGAGAATGGCTTCCTACTACCAGAGGGCAGAGAAAAATGGGATACTGGGAAGGGATTGTTCCCTGGAAGGGAGGTGAGGCCCTGGCACAGGTGCCCAGGGCAGATGTAGCTGCTCCTGGATCCCTGGAAGTGCCCAAGGCCAGGTTGGATGGGGCTGGGAGCAGCCTGGGACAGTGGGAGGTGTCCCTGCCATGGCAGGAGATGGGGCTGACCTCCAAGATCTCTTCCAACCCAATCTATTCTGAGATTTCATGGAAGATCACATCACCAAGGAATGTCTTCAACAAATCTAGGTTTAGGTAGATCCTCTGGCTACTGAGATTACTAAACCAGCTCAGTGCTCTAGAACCGAGCTGTGAGCCACTAAACTGTTTGAGCCATGCTAGAAAAGATACAGACTCAATCCCAGACACTCCTGAGCTGTGCACATGGAGAACAAGCTGGTTAGAGGTGTGCTAGAGCTGAAACCAGCTCTAGCTGGCAGCAACTCCCATCCTACTGTCCTGGGGTGACGTTATGATGCTTGTATATCCCCATTCATCTGTTCTGTGCCTTTAAGACCGGCACTGAAGTGGAAGTTTTGTTTGGGTTTCTCTTATCAGGACACAGAGACAAGCAGTANCTGGATGTCCCTGCCCTGCTCATTAATCGCAGCCTGGGCCCTGCTCCCCTGGGCCAGGCAGGCCCTGCAGGGCTCTCCCTGATTTCCCTGCCTGGCTTTCTGTGCAGCCTGGGAGCTTCAGCTCTCCCACCTGAGCAGGCTGCACCTCCCATTCTGGGTTTCCATTCCAGCAGCAGTTTGGTTTCTGTATAAAGAGCGAGCTGACAAAAATGCAAAACAAACCGTGAGCAGCTTCTCGCTTTTCCTAATCAGCTTTGCTTTGTCTTTGTGTGGCTGAACAATCACCAGGGCTCAGTTTATTGGCGGTTTCTTAATCAGAAACGTTAAAATTACTTTTTGTTGTTGTCCTTGTCAGTCATCACTTTGCTGAAAATACCTCGTGAAATGTTTTACTTTCTGCTGGTTGTTTTTGTCAGGAGATATTTGGGCGGAAACTGGAATTAAACAGAAAGTTCCACAAAGATATCTTAATTCTTACTTCTGAAATGTATTTTTGTAGGTTCCATTTGCATTTTTAAAGCAGAAAAGGGACCAGAGGGGAAGCACCTGGAGTGACTCAAGTTGTCACCAGGTCTTCCAAGAGCTGCTGAGGTTTCATCCTTCCTTCATCTCCTCTTTTTCATCCAAAAGTGCATTTTCCTCCTTCTGAACTCCTGGTGGCTTTGAGTAACCATGCAATGGAAGTGAGACAAAGCAAAACACCCAATTCCTGCTAAATGATTTTTAAAAAGCTGTTTTAGCACTTCCTCTTTGTGTTCCTCCCGTGACTTTCAGCAGCTCAGGCTCTGAACTTTGCTTAGAGACACAAAACTGAAAATAAAAAAATAAAACGTGTTTGGGTTGAAGCACAGGTTGCACCAAAAGTTTCCCAGGTCTCAAACTTCATCTTCCCCACATTAAATGCATTAAATTTGATGTTCAAATTCTCAGTGTGCAGAAGGCCCCAGTTCATGCTGGGCTCTCTGCAGCCCCTCTGAGCAGAGCTGCTGTCCCACCCTCAAGGTCAGGGGGTTTGAAGTCGTGTTTTGTCTCTTCCAGCTGCTTTTTGTGTTGCTTTTTCATTATCTGAGCTAATCGTTTTTGTTGCTGGGCTTGTTTTCTTTCTTTTCCAGAACTCTGCTCTGGCTGGGTTGGTTTTGGGCTTTTGGGTCAGGCTCAGGTCTCCTCTTGGGCTTCTTGAGGATGTGGTCACACTGTGACACCACTGATGTGCTGAGCTGATGGCTCTTGAAAAAATCATTTAAAAAGGAGAAAAATCAAATCCAAAGCCTGTGCTGGTCGCACTGAACAGTGAGAATAAATGAGCAAAGTCTAATCAAAGCAGAATTACCAAAACAGGTGAAAACTTCAATTCTGGGGTGTGGGAGAAAACAAGACATGGAGACAAACAGAGCATGGCAATCACCTGGTGCTCAGAGCTGCTGCTCTCAGTTTGATGGACGCTCTTTTCTTCCCTCCTCAGTCCCACAGAATAATGAGAAGCTTCAGGAAAGCCCGTGCATTTTTGCGTTAACACCAAGACAAGTGGAGCTGATCAGAAATTCCAGGTACTCCTCACTGGGCATTAACAGCTGCAGAAAATGCAGCTGCACCATTGCATCACTCCCAGTGCTCCCTGCTGTGGAAGCTTTTGTTCTCTGGGTGAGGACACCAGGCTGCTCCTCGTGTACAGCAAAAGCTCTGGGGGCAGTGGGAGCTGCAAATTCCCCATGCAGCTCCTTAAGTTGCACTTGTGCTGCTCTAATCTCCCTCTGGAATGGTGCATTTGGGCAGGAAAATGGGGATGAGCTCCTGGATGAGCTGAATTCTCTGCTGAGCTGCTGCTGTGAGCGTGTGCAGCCTTTCCTGGGGCCGGGTTCAGAAGGCAGAGTGTGCAGCTCTTTGCATCTGAAAGGAACTTCCTTGGTGGGGAGGAAGCAGCTGGGATCAGGATTTACCCTGACCTCTGTCAGATGGTAATTCCAATCTGGGATTCTGAAGGAAAACAAATTTCCAGGAGGTGGAAGCACCCAGAGGCAGAAGATGCACTCGCTGGGAATACCAGGTTTGGTNGGTTCCAAGGTGCCACTGAGTGTCCCCAGATTCTCACATTTGGTTCCAAGGTGCCACTGAGTGTCCCCAGATTCTCACATTTGGTTCCAAGGTGCTACTGAATGTCCCTGATTATCAGGTTTGGTTCCAGGGTGCCACTGAATGTCCCCAGATTCTCAGGTTTGGTTCCAGGTGCCACTGAATGTCCCCAGATCACCAGGTTTGGTTCCAGCTGCCACTGGATGTCCCCCGGTTATCCCATTTGGTTCCAGGGTGCCACTGAATGTCCCCAGATTGTCACATTTGGTTCCAAGGTGCCACTGAATGTCCCTGATGGCCAGGTTTGGTCCAAGGTGCCACTGAATGTCCCCAGATTCTCAGGTTTGGTTCCAGGTGCCACTGAATGTCCCCTGATCACCAGGTTTGGTGCCAGGGTGCCACTGGATGTCCCCTGATTGCCAGGGTGCGACTGAATGTCCCCTAATCACCAGATTTGGTTCCAAGGTGCCGCTGGATGTCCCCAGATTATCACATTTGGTTCCAAGTGCCACTAAATGTCCCCTGGTTCTCAGGTTTGGTTCCAAGGTGCCACTGAATGTCCCCAGATTATCACATTTGGTTCCAGGTGCCACTGGATGTCCCCAGATTATCCCATTTGGTTCCAGGTGCCACTGAATGTCCCCAGATTATCCCATTTGGTTCCAGGTGCCGCTGGATGTCCCCAGATTATCCCATTTGGTTCCAAGGTGCCACTGAATGTCCCCAGATTATCACATTTGGTTCCAGGGTGCCACTGAATGTCCCCAGATTATCCCATTTGGTTCCAGGTGCCACTGAATGTCCCCAGATTATCACATTTGGTTCCAGGGTGCCACTGAGTGTCCCCAGATTATCCCATTTGGTTCCAAGGTGCCACTGGATGTCCCCAGATTCTCACATTTGGTTCCAGGTGCCACTGAATGTCCCCAGATTATCACATTTGGTTCCAGGTGCCACTGAGTGTCCCCAGGTTATCCCATTTGATTCCAGGTGCCGCTGGATGTCCCTGCCCTGCTCATTAATCGCAGCCTGGGCCCTGCTCCCCTGGGCCAGGCAGGCCCTGCAGGGCTCTCCCTGATTTCCCTGCCTGGNGAATGTCCCCAGATAACCAGGTTTGTTCCAGGGTGCCACTGAATGTCCTGAGATTATCACATTTGGTTCCAAGGTGCCACTGAATGTCCCCAGATTCTCAGGTTTGGTTCCAAGGTGCCACTGAATGTCCCCTAATCACCAGGTTTGGTTCCAGGTGCCACTGGATGTCCCCAAATTATCCCATTTGGTTCCAGGGTGCCACTGAATGTCCCCTCATTCCCAGGTTTGGTTCCAGGGTGCCACTGAATGTCCCCAGATTCTCAGGTTTGTTCCAAGGTGCCACTGAATGTCCCCAAATTATCACATTTGGTTCCAGGTGCCACTGAATGTCCCTGATCACCAGGTTTGGTGCCAGGGTGCCACTGAATGTCCCCTGATCACCAGATTTGTTCCAGAGTGCCACTGAATGTCCCCTGATTGCCAGGTTTGGTACCAGGTGCCACTGAATGTCCCCAGATTGGCAGGTTTGGTTCCAGGGTGCCACTGAGTGTCCCCAGATTATCCCATTTGGTTCCAAGGTGCCACTGGATGTCCCCAGATTATCACATTTGGTTCCAAGGTGCCACTGAATGTCCCCAGATTCTCAGGTTTGGTTCCAGGGTGCCACTGGATGTCCCCAGATAACCAGGTTTGTTCCAGAGTGCCACTGAATGTCCCCTGGTTCCAGGGTGCCACTGAATGTCCCCTGATTCTCAGGTTTGGTTCCAGGTGCCACTGGATGTCCCTCATTGCCAGGTTTGGTGCCAGGTGCCACTGAATGTCCCCAGATCACCAGGTTTGGTTCCAAGGTGCCACTGAATGTTCCCTGATTGCCAGGTTTTGTTCCAGGTGCCACTGAATGTCCCCAGATTATCCCATTTGGTTCTAGGTGCCACTGAATGTCCCCTGATTGCTAGGTTTGGTTCCAGGTGCCACTGAATGTCCCCTGATTGCCAGGTTTGGTCCAGGTGCCACTGAATGTCCCCAGATTGCCAGGTTTGGTTCCAGGTGCCACTGAATGTCCCCAGGTTATCCCATTTGGTTCCAGGTGCCACTGAATGTCCCTGATCACCAGGTTTGGTTCCAGGTGCCACTGAATGTCCCCAAATTATCACATTTGGTTCCAGGTGCCACTGAATGTCCCCAGATTATCCCATTTGGTGCCAGGGTGCCACTGAGTGTCCCCAGATTCTCAGGTTTGGTTCCAGGGTGCCACTGGATATCCCCTGGTCACCAGGTTTGGTTCCAAGTGCCACTGAATGTCCCCAGATTATCCCATTTGGTTCCAGGTGCCACTGGATGTCCCTGCCCTGCTCATTAATCGCAGCCTGGGCCCTGCTCCCCTGGGCCAGGCAGGCCCTGCAGGGCTCTCCCTGATTTCCCTGCCTGGNTCCCCCCTTTTCTCTGTCTTCTCTTTTCCCCCATTTTTTCTGTCTTCTCTTTTCCCCCCTTTTCTGTGTCTTCTCTTTCCCCCCCTTTTCTCTGTCTTCTCTTTCCCCCCTTTTCTCTGTCTTTTCTTTTCCCCCTTTTCTCTGTCTTCTCTTTCCCCCCTTTTCTCTGTCTTCTCTTTTCCCCCCTTTTCTCTGTCTTCTCTTTTCCCCCCTTTTCTCTGTCTTGTCTTTCCCCCCTTTTCTGTCTTCTCTTTTCCCCCTTTTCTCTGTCTTTCCCCCTTTTCTCTGTCTTCTGTTTCCCCCCTTTTCTCTGTCTTCTCTTTCCCCCCTTTTCTCTGTCTTCTGTTTTCCCCCTTTTCTCTGTCTTCTCTTTTCCCCCTTTTCTGTCTTCTCTTTTCCCCCTTTTCTCTGTCTTCTCTTTCCCCCCTTTTCTCTGTCTTCTCTTTTCCCCCCTTTTCTGTCTCTTTCCCCCCTTTTCTCTCTCTCTCTTCTTCCCCTTTCTCTCTTTTCTTTCCCCATCTCTCTTTCCCCTTTCTCTCTCTTCCTCCCTCCTCTCTTCCCCCCTGCTTTCCCTCCTTTCTCTCTCTTCTCTTTCCCCCCCTCTCTCTCCCCACATACTCAGAATTTACAGAGAAATGTTGATCTCTGGGCTTAAAGGTTGATAAAAGAGGGCGAGGAGCTTTTTACAGAGTGCTGGGAAAGGGGGAATGGCTCCAAACTAAAAGAGGAAAGATTTAGCTGGGATATTGGGGAGCAGTTCCTCCCTGTGAGGGTGGGCAGGAGAGGCTGTGGCTGCCCTGGCAGTGCCCAAGGCCAGCCTGGCACAGTGAAGGTGTCCCTGCCTGTGGGCTGGCATGGGGAGGATCCTTCAGGTCCTTCCCAATCCAAACCCTGGGATTTTCCTCAGACCTGGAACGTGCTCACTTTGGAATCCCACCTTGTTTGCTTCCTGTGGCCTGTGGAGCCATATTCCACCCTAATGCTGGAATGTTTCCAGCACTAAAAACCCCTGACCTGAGGCATCCTATGGGTAAAGGAGGGTGGCAACACCTCAAACTGTATTTTTGACCTTTATTTTGTGTGCTTGTCACAGTTATTTGTGTGTGGTGCTGTGTGTTTTGAGGGGTAACCAGTAAAACTGGAAGAGCTTTTTCCCTGGGGTGTGGAGACTGATTTCTCATTATTTAATTTGGGATGTGGAAACTGATTTTTCATTATTGAATTTGGGATGTGGAGACTGATTTCTCATTATGTAATTTGGGATGTGGAGACTGATTTCTCATTATTTAATTTGGGATGTGGAGACTGATTTTTCATTATTGAATTTGGAGAAACAAAGAATGTTGTTAACTGATGGTAAATAGAATGTTCTGGTGGCAAATTCAGCGTGTCCAGAGAAGTTGAGTTCTGCTGAGTGTCTCACAAATTTGTGTGGTAATGTCAGAGTTCTCTACCAACAATTCTACAACTTGAGCTGGTCTGGCTTTGCTGAAAATATATTTGTTGTGGCTTGGGGGAAAAATAGATAAAGATTTGATTGTGCAGAAACAAAAAGATAAAGGTCTAATTAGTCAGATTTTATATAATTTCTTCTCTGTTTGAAGGCGTTAATGCTGTGACAAAACAGCTGAGTGGTGACAGAGTCAAGCTCAAACACGATAATTGTATGGGGAACGGTTTGCTCAGTGTTAAATGTGTGTTAGGCAGCAATTCCAATCTGGGATTCTGAAGGAAAACAAATTTCCAGGAGGTGGAAGCACCCAGAGGCAGAAGATGCACTCGCTGGGAATNCCCGGAGGGTTCTGAGAGGCGGAACCGCAGCAGTGTCGGGAGTGTCCGCACTCCATGTGCTCTCCCTGCTCGCACGGGGAACCTGGAGCCCTCGGTTTGCTTTGCTTCCTCTGGGGTTTGTTGTTGTTTTGCTGCTCGAATCTCATCGTCTTTAATTCGTTCAAAATCGAAATTCTGGGCTCCAGCTCCGCTTTCCAGGCCGAGTCCTGGGTGAGGCTCCAGGAGCAATTCCCACAGGGAGCTCCTGGGATGCCCTGGCACCTCCTGCTGCTGTGTCTTGATGAATTTATCTTTCCAAATGCACCTTTTATCCCCGAATCCCTCAGGGACAGCAAGGTTCTCTCCATTTCCTAGCACACTTTAATGATCCTGGTGGGATTTCATCAGACTTGATGATCTTGGAGGTCTTTTCCACCCTTAATGATCCCGATTCTATTTTTGAGTTGAACAAAAGTGAGACACAAAGTAGATTTCTCCAGGATTTCACAGGTGGTGTGTGCTGGAGCAGCACCATGAATGCAGGCCTCTGAAATTCTGACTTTCTGGCAATTAAACATCTTTTCTCTCCTCTTTAGTCATCAGTCTTTTTTCCCCTCATCAGGGATATTTTGGGACTCATCACGACTCCCAAAGTTCTAACTGCAGACAGTGACATAACAGCTTTTGGGGTTTCAGATGAAATGACATATGTGAGGGAAAAGGAGAAAATCAAATGGCATTTTTCTCTCTCATCTAATTCCCACACATCCAAAAGTGGCTGTGAAATGTTTCTGGAAACAGTTGTAGATTTCTTAATTAAAAAAGAAATAAAAAAATCTGTAGCTGGTTTATTCCAGGAAATTATAAGACTGTTAGATTATCTTTTATGCTTTCTTTTTAATTATTGATTCAAGAGTTGGGTAGAGGTTGGGGAAGATCTGCTGGATTTTTTTTTTTGTGGGGCTTCTTCTTGAATTTCCCCACAAACAGGAAGGATGTGGAGTGAATATGTGTGGAGTTTATTTCCAGGGCAGCTTGAATTTTCCAGCCCATGGACTTTATTAGCTGCTTCTTTGCAATTTTAAGGCTGTTTGGGGATCTGAAATGCCAGCCTGGAGCTGTGGGCTCAGGAAGAATTCCTGGTTCCTGATGGGAACTTGCCTTGTGGCCTTTGCTGACGGTTCCAGCCCTGAGCTGGGTTTTGCTGCTTATCAGACGCTGAATTTGATAATTGCAAGGCTGGGATCTCAGGGAATTGGCATTGTTCTCCTGGGAACACACTGCTCCCTTCAGTAATCACACTCCACAATATGTGGGGCTTTAAAGATCCTGTGGATGTAGGGAGGATCCTGGAGGGCTTTTCCCATCCAGAAATCCAGGATTGGTGGCCCCAGTTTATGTTATTTTGATTTCCTCTCTGTGCCTTGCCCTGGCGCCGTTTGGGATGAAGTTTTCCACATTTCCCTGGGAATTCTGGATGCTCAGGCTGCTGCAGGATTCTGTGAGCTCTTCTCTGCTTTAGGCCTTTGAGCTGAGCTGTGCTGAGGATGCTTAGCCCCTATCCAAGTGATTTTGGAGTCACTTGGTGCCTGTGCTTGTGGTTTTGTCCATCCGTGGGTGATCTCTGTGTTCAACCAAGAAATGGGCACCAAAACCAGGTGACAGCAGCGGGTTTGGACACGTTTGGGGTCTTTCTTTGAGGGGGAAATTTTAAATATCTTGCCTTGTAGTTCTAAAGTGACAACTAAACCTTTGCCTTTTATAACTATGAGAACATCTTTTAATTTTTTATCCCCCAGAACATGGTGATGAGTTTCCGAGTCTCAGATCTTCAGATGTTGCTGGGTTTTGTTGGCAGGAGTAAAAGCGGACTAAAACACGAACTAGTGACCCGAGCTTTGCAGCTGGTCCAGTTTGACTGCAGCCCCGAGGTGTTCAAGAAGATCAAGGAGCTCTACGAGACTCGCTACAACAAGAAGGGCTCGGAGGTGGCTCCGCCNTCCGAGGAATTTTTTCCCGAACCGGTTGGGGGGAGGGGCCGTGTGGGTTTCGCTTTCTGGAGGGGCCCTCCTTTGCAGATTCTTTAACAAATTTGCCCTAAACCAGTACACCTACCTATGGCAGCCTCATCGTCAGGGGGGCCCTCGTAGAGCAGCTCGCAGCGATACTTCTGGGCTGTGACGGGGGAAGGCAGGTGGATGGTGATCATCTGCAGCAGGGCATCTCCAGCTGGCAGCCACCGCCTCATCACGGCCTGGCAGAGCAGCAGCACCCAGTCAGAGGGTTCCCAACATGGTTCACCTCCTCCTCCTTTCCCACCTCCCAATCTCCCAAGTAGGTTGATGTTGACACAGCTGGAGCAGCACAACTGCTCAGCTGCTCCCCAGAGAACTCAAACCAGTCTCACCTTCAGCAGGGGTTTGCCCTCCTTGTCCTTGTCCTCACTGTCCAGCTTGATGTCCAGTTTCTCAATCAGTTTAGCAGCCTCTTCCTTCTTGAAGTTCATGATTGCATCGAAAACCTGTGACAAGAGCAGCCATTGGAGCACTGACCCAGCCTGGAGCAGCTGCAGAGAACTCCTGCTCCTCCTCAGCACCCAGCCTGCCCCCAGGAGACACAGCCCATGTGCCCCCAGGTGTGTCAGACAGCTGAATTTCTTCAATCAAACACGTCAGGTCAAAGTGAAGAAATTTTCCATCATCACGCACGGAACAGAAGCGCAGAGCAGGAGGTGCCGGCCAAGGAGGAACCTGAGGAACTCACCTTGAAGATGGGGTCAAGGATGAGCTGGCAGAAGGTCCTGGGCAGTTTCTTTCCATCAGGGCTGGTGGCAGATTTGCTGAATTTGCCAGTAGCCGGGTCAAAGTACCTGCAGGGAGAAGGAAATCAGACAATTGTCCATGCTCAGGTCAGCTCCAGACTCACAGCTTGTCCTGCCTGCTCAGGGCAGAGCCCAGGGCTGCTGAGGAAGAGCCATTTCCTGCCTTCCCCCTCCTCCAGCCTTCCAGCACTCACCCAAATGTAATTAACTCCTGTTAGACCAGGCACAACCACGCCCTGCCCCTTTACCCACCCTCTGCAGTGCCAGGCTGCAGCCATGCAGAGCTGGTCTGGAATTCAATCACCCCCATCCCCTCCTCACCTGTCTCCCCACAGCTTCTTCATCATGTCCTCGACTTTCTTGGCACGCTCAGCTGGGCTGAGCTGGGCATCTCCCTTGGCAGCAAACTTTGCCACGTACATCTCAGCAAACTGCTTCAGGGTGAAGGCCCAGCCGTGCAGGCCCGAGCCGAAGCCCACGGTCCCGAGCACCGGGTCAATCTGAGGGGGAACAGCAGAGCTGGGTCAGGGGAGCAGCTCAGCCCACCCCAAAACAGCCCAGCACAAAATGGGACACTGAGATTGTGAATAGTTCTGTCCCACTCTGAGGGCTGGGACAGGCACCAGTTTAGCTTTGCACCACAGAGCTGGGTTGGTTTTCCTCCACTCCCAGCAGGTGTGTGCTCAGGTTCACAGGCAGACAGGATTCCCATTCTTGCCAGGAGGAGCAGCAAGGTTTGGACACCTCCAGCTTCTCCTCAGAACCTGACACCCACAGCCCTGCTCCCTTCCCAGGAACATTAAGGTGGGAAGGCACCATTAAGACCATTCCATTCCACCCCTGCCATGCAGGGACACCTTCCACAACCCCAGGGTGCTCCAAGCCCCATCCAGCCTGGCCTTGGACTCTTTAGGGACTGGGCAGCCACAGCTGCTCTGGGCATCAATCCCAGCCTTTATTTGCTCAGGCCTTGAACAGGAAATTTGGGAGGGGAGCCAGCAGGAGCCCCAAGCCTTGGAGTTGAGGCACCCTCACAATCTCACAATCCCCCATTCTCCACCTGGGACAGGGAATTCTGCCTGAGGAGGGAGCTGCTCCCTCTCCCCACAGCGGCTCCATGCCATGCTCAGAGCCTCCCTCACCATGATGTTGCCCATGGGGCCGCTCTCTCCCTCTCCGTAGGTGGAGATGATGACGTTGACGTTCTCCACGATGCGCTGGAAGGTCTGGTACAGCTCCTCTGGCTCCAGCTGCAGCTCCAGCAGCGCTCTGTCCATCTTGTTCATCATCAGCACGGGCTTGATCCTCTCGGCGATGGCCTGACGCAGCACGGTCTCTGTCTGCACGCACACGCCTGCCAAACACAGCAGCATCAGCAGTGAGCTATCCCCAGCTCCAAATCCCAGCACAAATCCCCCAAAATCCTGTCCAGCTGCAGGAAACCTCACCAGAGACACAGTCCACGACGACCAGGGCACCGTCAGTGACTCGCAGAGCTGCAGTGACCTCTGAGGAGAAGTCCACGTGCCCAGGGGAGTCAATGAGGTTGATCAAGAAACCAGAACCATCCTTGCTCTGCTTGATGAAGGCCAAGTCGTTCTCAGAGAGCTCATAGAAGAGAGAAATGGCTCTGAAAGAAAAAGAAACCATTAAAATGATGATCTGTGTCATTCTTCTCTTAAGTTTAGAAGTGTTTTGCCCCACACAAACTGCTGCCACCACTGGAGGTGGCACCCAGTGCTCTGCTCTGCTCGACAAGGATGGAGTTGGTGACCTTGGAGATCTTTTCCCACCTGAATGCTGGGCTCCAGGATTTCCTGAAGTGTATTCCAGGGAGGTCAGGGGTGTGAGATAACAGGAGCGCAGGCTACAACCTGTCCTTCCTAAACCACAACATCCTCCAGAATCCCAACCTCCTCCAACTAACTCCCTGCAGTCCTCCAGCACCCATAAAGGGTTCCATTCCCAAATCATGGATTTCAGGTTTTCTTACTAATCCAAACCCTTTTCCAGCCCCAGAGTCCTCACACTGCCTGTGGCAGCACAGCCACCAGGAACATCCCCAGATGTGCTCCTAAGGGTCTCCACACTGCATCCACAGTTCATCCAACAATCTTGGTGCACAACTGGGAGGATGAAGCTCCTGCTTCCCCAGCACCCAGCAAAAAACTGCTCAATGACTGAGCACAAGTTTGCTCCACCATTCAAGACCCTCATGAGCAGAGATGAGCTTCTGGACTAGACCAAATTTTCTTCCACTTCCTGGAGGAGCCCAGCCCAGGGAGCAGCAGGAGCCCGAGGGAGGGCACTCACGTGGATTTGATGGTGATGCACCGCTCCTGCTCGTCCTTGCGGGTGTCAGTGAACCGGGTCTCGCCGGCCCGAGCCGAGGCGATGATCCCGGCCTTGCACACCAGGGAATCCGTCAGCGTGGACTTGCCGTGGTCCACGTGGGCGATCACGGACATGTTCCTGATGTTGGCCTTTTTGTCCATGATGGCCCGTATCTGGTCTACTGTGAAGTTCACCTTGAGGGAGGGGAGAAGGGGGACTCAGCGTGTACAAAACCAGCTTTGGCGATTCCAAGGAAGCCGAATCGCCCATAAATACCTGCCATAACCGCGGTGACACCACCTCTGCCTGGCTGACAACACAACCCGCTGCAAGGGCACCGCAGCGGGGCTGCGGCACCAACCCCTCCCAGCCCGTGTCCCTNATTATCACATTTGGTTCCAAAGTGCCACTGAATGTCCCTGATCACCAGGTTTGGTCCAAGGTGCCACTGAATGTCCCCTGATTGCCAGGTTTGGTGCCAGGGTGCCACTGAATGTGATGCAACTTTTGAGGCAAACAAAGGCTCCCCTCAGAGGTGGCAGTGTGGGCACAGAGGTTTCCTCTTGGCTGACCTGCTCCCTTCACGCAGAAAAATTCCTCCAAAAATTCAGCATAAAACCTTTGACTATTAATCTTTCTCATAAATTAAAGAGCTGGAGGAAGAATATCTTGGTTATTTTGCCTCCTGGTAAAACATCCTTGTTGTGTCTTCCTTTTCTTTCCTGATTGCAGTTAAAATCCTGTCAGGAACAGCCCTGATGGAGGCTGCAATATTCACAGTGGGGCCTTAATATTCAGTCCCTTGGTTTGCATGAGCAGCTTCAGCTGAATAATTAAACACAGAGAGTCTTGAACACAGTCAGGTAAACCTGACCTTAAAACCCAGTTTTTATAAATTCTCACAAATCACCAGAAGGCTCCTGAGCAGTTTTAAAAACCCAGAGAAAAGCTGTGAGTTGGTGCATCAGGAAAAAAAAATAATAATTACAGAACCACTGATATTTGCAAGGGGAATTGTACAATTTAAATAACGTTCTGGGAGGTAATTTTTTGAAGTTCTATTTAAAAAAATTAGGAACAACTGAAGTTCTTGAGTCTGGCAGCTGGTTTGGGTGATTCTTTTGGGGGTGGGGATTTTTTTTTTTTACACAATTAATTTGAAGTTTTCTGTTCTTTCATTTATCAGGGAGTTGCAACCCGGCGTGAAATCGGTTCAGGTGGTGCTCAGGTAGGTCTGGGCTGGGCTCATTGAACATCAGGGGCAGAGCAGGGGAGGAGGGAATGTTCCAGCAAGTTCCAACATGGATTTCATGGCTCCAGAGAGAATTTCCAATGAACTTTTTGTTCTTGGGCCTCTTAAATTCCACTTTTGAACCTGGAGCAGAAACAGCAGAGTCGCCCCTGGATGGGCTGTGCTGAGGGAGCGTGGGTTGGGATGGGATGGGGTTGGGATGGGATTGGGATGGGAGCTGTGCAGAGTGGTGGGATATTATGGGATGTGTTGTTTCTGCCCAGAATCTGCTACACAGACACCAGTTCCCCCCAGGAGGATCAGTACCCTCCCAACATCGCCGTCAAGGTGAACCACAGCTACTGCTCCGTGCCGGTGAGCGCTGCCCAGGGAAAGCTGGGGGAGATTCGGGGAGTGGGGAAGGAAATGGCTCTGCCACACTATAGAAGTGCACTGCTTAGGTTAAAGCTAATTTTGCTAATTTTTTCATGGATTAGCCATGTTGTTAATGAGCTGTTCTGTATAAAGGCTCGATGCTGTTTAATTGTGCTGCAGCTGTACCCAGCTCCTTCCCCCCATCCCTGAGAGTGCACTTTAATGGAGCTGATCAACAAATGTACCTTGAGTAAAATAAGAACTATCTGTATTTCATCTTCCTGCTCTAGGGCTACTACCCCTCAAACAAACCCGGGGTGGAACCCAAGAGGCCCTGCAGGCCCATCAACCTCACCCACCTCATGTACCTGTCAGCGGCCACCAACCGCATCACGGTCACCTGGGGCAACTACGGCAAGGTGAGAGCCCAGGGAGCGCCCAGGGAGCGCCCAGGGCCGCCCAGGCAGCCCTGCAGAGCAGCCTCCTCATCCTCCCCTCCCTCTCTCTCCCCAGAGCTACTCGGTGGGGCTGTACCTGGTGCGGCAGATGACCTCAGCAGAGCTGCTGCAGAGGTTGAAAACCATCGGCATCAAGCACCCGGAGCTCTGCAAAGCGCTGGGTGAGTGGCTGAGGAGGGGCCTGCCTGTCTGCAGCCTGCTGGGGAGCAACCACCACCTTGCACAGCCGTGCTCCCCTGCAGCTGTGTAAACCCCCACTTTTTATCTGAACAGACTTGCAGAGCTGTGTGTGAGCCGTGGGAGGTCACCCCAAAGCCGTGGTTCTGGTGGCTCTCCCTGTAGGTGGATGTAGGATTTGTGCCGCTGTCGGTGTCCCTGGAAGGGCTTCATGCCTTCAGCTGAGTCAGTCTGAGCAGCACTGACCTCGGGATTCCCAAAGGACATTGCTGGAGCGAGGGATCCTGGTGACAATGTCCTGCTGCCCCAGGCCCTGGCACTCCTTGGGGTGGCACTGGGATGTCACCAGCAGCACTTTGATATGCCTTGAGAGCTTCAGAGAAGAGATGGTCCCCAGAGATGCTTATCCCAAACCACTCAGGTAAATCCTCCTGGTATGAGGCTCATGTAAAAATTACTGGAAATGAGGGGAAGGTACTTTTCCAAGGTGGACTCTGACTTGGAGCTCATGAGTGTGGAAGATCCCCAGTTTCTCATGTTGCTGGACAAAACCTTCTCACTGTTTCATTCTGCGTGGGAGAACTGACCCCGTGATCCTGATGGTCTCTAAAACTGCCCAGATCCTGGAGAACTCCTCCCAAGGACAAGAAATGCCAGGGAATCCCAGCATAGTTTGGCTTGGAAGGACCTTAAAGCTCATCCAGTGCCACCCCTGCCATGGCAGGGACACTCCCACTGTCCCCAGTGTCCAGCCTGGCCCTGGGCACTGCCAGGGATCCCCAGCTGCTCTGGGCACCTGTGCCAGGGCCTGCCCACAGGGAGGAATTTCTCCTGCACATCTTAACCCCAATTTCCTCTCTTCAAGCCATTCCCCCTTGTGCTGTCACTACAGCTCCCTGTAGGACAGAGCCCCTTTCCAGCATCCCTGGAGCCCCTCCAGGGACTGGAATGTTCTGGGAGGTCTCCACTCAGCCTTCTCTTCTCCAGGCTGAGCTTCCTCAGCCTGCCAGCCTTGGGGGTGGGTGTAGCTCCCAGGGAAGGTGATGGCTCCAGGTGTGTCCAGCCTGCAGGCACCTGCATTTCAGGCAGGATCAGTTGTATTTGGTGACTTTAAAGAAAACCAAATAAGAGCAGTGTCTTATTTCAGCTCCTTCACGTTTTCATGCTTGGAAGTTGTTTGGATATCCCAAACTGGCCAGCCTGAGGAGATCCTAAACTTTGCTTTTCTAGCTCTGGTCTGCTCTGCAAATAATTCTCTGTCACTGAAGCTGCCCTTTGGCTTCAGTCACATCTCACTGCTGACTCATCTTGCTTTGCATAAAATTCTGCAGAACTTAATACAGGAACAGTGTCTGAGAACAGATCATGGCTTTGGATCCAAAATCCTGATCTGGAGATCCTGGAAAATTCTCCTTCCCAGGTCTCCCAGTAATTGATGCACAGAGAGAGCTCTTACAAAGAACTTCATAAAAAATTAAGCTTGGATGAAAAGGCTCCTAATGTGAGGAAAACAAGCCCAAATCTTGTAATCTCCTGGGAATTTCACATCTGAGAAGTCACTCTCTAATTAAAGCTGGGTGTTGCGGAGCTGCATGCAGCCTCATTGTCTGGAGACATCTTGTTATGATCTGAAAAGGTCAAAAGAAATGGTTGACTTGCTCCAAAGAAAAACGGTGATGGAAGTGTCAGAGGCAGTTGCAGACAGCAGTGGGAGCAGCAGCTCCTCCTCAGGACTTTCAAAGCTGGTTTTGTTGATTTTTGCACCTTGGTGTGGGACCTGCACACGTGGGACCTGCCCATCTGCTGCTTGCTTTGATTTCCCTGCTGCTCCTCTGGGTTTTGCTTTCAGGCTGCAGCAGCAGGGGCAGGATTCCTCCTTTGCTGAGGGCTGATTCTTGCCAGACCTGTGCTGGATGGCTGCTGTGCCCGGTCTTGCATGGCTGCCTCGCTCTGAGCTGTCTGCCTGGCTACCTCTGGGCCTGCTTGTGCTTCCTGTGGAACGTTCTGGAATAAGGGAGGTGCCAGTGGAGAGGGCAAGGAGTGGCAGCCCAGCAGTGCTGGGAGGAGGCTTGATAACCTGATGGCAGAAGGATGGGATGTGCTTTCCCTCTCTGTTTGCTCACTTGTGGGGAGACATTTCCCCCAATGCTGCTGCTCAGGAGGGAATTAACCCCAGGTCCATGTGTTCATTCCCTGCCTGACAGGGAAAGTGCTCCACACACAGCCCAGGGCTGGCTGAGCTGCTCCCCCTGTGCTGCACAGTCCTGCTGAGGCTGCCTTTGGTTCAATGCTGTGTCCTCTGCTCTCCCTGCAGTGAAGGAGAAGCTACGCCTGGACCCTGACAGTGAAATCGCCACCACCGGGGTCCGAGTGTCCCTCATCTGTCCGGTGAGACCCTGCAGGCTCCTCCTGGCCTTGGGGTTTGGCTTGGAAGGGAGCTTAAACCATCCAGGGACACAGAGAGGGACACTGTACCAGGCTGCTCCAGCCTGGCCTTGGGCACTGCCAGGGATCCACTCTGTGCCAGGGCCTCAGCACCTTCCCAATATCCCCTCTAGGGTGTGGGGAACCCCTCCCTGTGTCCTGTCCCTCCCTCCCTGTGTCCCCAGTCCCTCTCCAGCTCTCCCAAACAGCTCCAGCTCTGTTTTAGCCTGCTTTTGTCAAGAACCTAATCCATACTCCCAGAGCAGCTTTACCAACTCCCAAATTAAATGTTTTTCCTGCTGAGGGGATCTGGGGTTCCTCCCAGTGTCCTGGCTGATCTCTGCTCTCTGCCCCCACAGCTGGTGAAGATGCGCCTGTCGGTGCCGTGCCGGGCCGAGACCTGTGCACACCTGCAGTGCTTTGATGCCGTCTTCTACCTACAGATGAATGAGAAAAAGCCCACATGGATGTGCCCTGTGTGTGACAAACCTGCCCCCTACGACCAGCTCATCATTGATGGGTGAGCTTTGCACCTCTCTGCCCTTTGCCCTTCCCCGCTGGGTGCAGCATCCAGCTCTTGGTTGAAGTTCACCTTGAAACTGTTCAAAGTTTTTTCTGCTGCTGGATAATATTCTGGTTTCAGTGTTTTGGTGTGTTAGAGCAAGTGGGAATGTGCTGGGGGGTAACAGGCTTGTGGTGCAGCATTTTTGGGGTGAGTTTGGGAGCAGCTTTGTGCCCCCAAATGCTGGGAGCCTTCTGTAGACTGACCAGGGCTGGTGGAACAACACACGTGGTTCCTGCCTGCTGGGAAATGGTCTCCACCCTCGTGGCTGTGTGATTGGCCCCCACTGCAGGTTCCCTCAAGAGCAGGGAGAGTTTGGGGTGATGTTTGGGGTGGCTGAGCTGCCCTGGCACAGGGCAGTGAGCAGACCAGTCTGTGCCAGCCTCACCGAGGGCTCCTGCAGCGTCGCTGCCGTGTGGGCCCTGGGCACATCCAGGAGCTGTGGCTTTGCAGGCAGCCTGGAGCAGCCTCAGCACTGATAACCTGTTTGCTTTGTCCCCTGGCCAGCCCTGACAGGAAAATCCAGTTCTTGGAGATCTCTGGCAGGGGGAGATGAAGGGGAGGCTGTGAGGGGTGGGACTGTGGGACCCACATGGGTCAGCCATGCCCGTGTCCTGCACCAGGAGCAGCAGGATGGCCCTGGGGAGGGCTCAGCACACCTTGGTCCCTGCTCAGGGCTGGTTTGGTGCCAGTTGTGTTGGGTGAAGTCCTTCCCAGGTTCCCTGGGAGTGAGGGAGGGAAGCTGGCACTCAGCTGGGTGCTGGGAGGCAGGAAGGAGCCCGAGGCTCCCGAGCAGGGTGGGAGGTGCTTGGTCAGGTTCAGCTTTTTGGGAGCTGCAGCTTGGTGGTTGCTGTGCTGGTGATGGGATTGGCTGTGGGAGCAATTCCTGCAGGAGCTGGGGAAAGCTGAAACTCCCACTGGGGTGCCACAAAGTTCTCCTGACCTTGGAAGTCTTTCCACTAAGAGTTCTCCTTCCTCCTGAAGGAAAGTGCTCAAGTCCAGGAGGGATTTCCAAATAAACATCCCAGGCAAACGCTGGGACACAGGGAATGAAGCAAGTGCCCAGTTTCTCTGCAATCAGAGAAATACAAAATACACCTCATTCCAGGTGGATTTTCATGGTGTTCCTGATGCAGGAATGTTGTTCTGGTGGCTCTTGTGGAGATTTGGGAAATAAAACTAGGAAGGAGGGGAAGTGCTGCTGGTTGGATTGCTGAGTTCCCAATGCCAAAGGATCTCTCACCTTTTGCTAAAGCCTTGCTGGGAATGTCCCATGGGATGGGGCAGCAGGGCCTGCCTGGAAACAGTGCCTGGGAGCCTGGGTGAAGAGGCAAAGCTGTGTTTAATTGCAGCTAATTAAGCTGGTAGTTGATGATTTGGGTGCATGGACAGGAAGGGCTGGGATGGATTTGCACAGTCAGAACCTGCACTGGTTTTATGGGGAATAAAGTCCGTGGCTCCAAGGCTCTCAGCAGAAGGTTCCTTTGGCTCCAGGGTCACTGCACACACCCTGCTGATTGCCAGGGCTGTGACAACTCCTGTGTCCCCTCTGCAGGCTCCTGTCCAAGATCCTGACAGAATGTGAGGATGCAGATGAGATCGAGTACCTGGTGGATGGCTCCTGGTGCCCCATCCGAGCCGAGAAGGAGCGGAGCTGCAGCCCCCAGTGTCCCATCCTGGTTCTAGGTGAGCAGGGCTGCAAACCCTGGGGGAAATCACACAATTCCAGCATGGCTGGGGTTGGAGGGGACCTGCAGGACCATCCAGTGCCATCCCTGCCATGGCAGGGACACCTTCCATGGTCCTAGGTTGCACCTTCTACTGCCCAAGCCCTGTCCAGCCTGGCCTTGGGCACTGCCAGGGATCCAGGGGCAGCCACAGCTGCTCTGGGCACCTGTGCCAGGGCATCACAAGGAGGAATTTCTCCCCAATATTCCCTCTTCCCTGTGTCCTGTCCCTCCATGCCTTGTCCCCAGTCCCTCTCCAGCTCTCCTGCAGCCCCTTTAGGCTCTGAGCTCTCCCTGCAGCCTTCCCTTGTCC